CATATCAATGACCGCCTGTATCTTCTCTAGGTTGGCCTTTATCCCTCTTTGATCAATCAAAAATTCGAGAAACTTCCAGACTCAACTCCAAAGACACACTTCTTGGGATTGAGCATGACCTTGTGTCGCCTGAGGTTGGTGAAGGTTTCTCGGAGGTCAACAAGATGATCCGTCTGTAGCTTGGACTTGACTATCATGTCATCAATGTACGCCTTTACATTCATTCCAATTTGATTAATAAATACTGTATTAATCATTCGTTGGAAAGTAGCAGGCACATTTTTCAAGCCAAACGGATCAGTGACAAAGACCGTCTTCTCTTTATCTTTCTTCCATAGGGGTATTTGATGAAAGCCAGAATAGGCGTCCATAAAACTCATCAAATCATGTCTGGCTGTAGAGTCGACCAGACTAACGATCTTTGGAAGCGGATAACTTTCCTTCGGACATGCCTTGTTCAAATCTGTGTAATCAACACCCATGCGATAGGTACCATTCGGCTTCTTCACAACAACAACATTCGCAACCCAATCTGGGAAATGACATTGCCGAATGAACTCGGCGTCTAACAACTTTTTTACTTCGGCGTCTGCAGCCTGACTTCTCTCCTCGCCGTGATTTCTTTTTTTTTTTTGCATAACGGGCTTCTTCTTTGGATCCACGATGAGCTTGTGTACAGCAAGATCTGGGTTGATGCCTAACATCTCTTCCACTTCAAAGGCAAAAATCTCCTTATTCCTTCAACAGATTATGCAAGTATGCTCCCAGCTTTGCAAAGGCAGCCGTCCCCACCTTAACAATACATTTCGGACGTGTGTCGTCTAGAACAATATCAATGTGTTCACCAGCTGACTCGGGACGAAGCTCATCTGACTGTTCCCCGTTCAGTGATTGCCATTGCTTTTCTTTCTTCACAGTCACCAGCTGGTAGGCCTTTCTTTTATCGCCGATTGCTTGTGGAGCAGGCTTTGGTTCCTTGACATCGTCAAGGTCTATTGGCTCCACGTCCCTATCAACAACTGTGGGCTTGACGTCTGAGAGGTAGCACTCTCAAGCCGTCTTCTGGTGTAAAATGCTAACAGAACCATCATCTCTTTCAAATTTCAGCAGCATGGGGGACGGGAAAATGGCTGCCTTAGATTCTTTCAGAGTCGGATGGTGTAAAATGAGATTATAGGTGTTCATCTCTTCTACCACCAAGAACCGGACGACCATGTAGCGCCCTTCTCCATTCTCTCCCAGTCGAATGGGTATATCAATCCGGCCGACAGGGTGCACAACTCCACCCCCAAAACCAACTAGGGGGTGACTGACTTATACTTCAGCTTGGACTGACACTTCCAGCTAATGATGCAGACAAGATACCGATATCAATGAGGATCCGACCAACCCTTTGGTTGGCTACCTTGCATTCGATGACAATAGGGTCATCATGTGGCCGACGGACTAGGCCCCGGTCCTTCTCAGAGATGATAACCTCAGGGAAGGTGTCGATAGACGCCTAACCCTCATCGACCGAGTTGACATCCATATTTCTGGCGTGGTCCTTGGTGCTTTTGATAGTTGGACCCCCTCTGGCAAAGCCGCCTACTATGGTGTGAATCGGCTCCTTATCTTTTTCAGAACTACTAGTAGGCTTTGCTAACTTTTTTTTATGGTTGTCTAGGGTCCGTCTTCAGGGTCACCTTGGACTTGAGGATGTAAGACTTCAACACCCCTTATCAGCCAATCTATCCAACAACTGCTTAAGGTTGTAGCAGTCATAGGTGTCATGGCCAATATCCTCATGGAAGCAGCAGTACTTATCTTTTTTCGATTTTTGGCGGAACCCTTCAAGGCTGCGGGCTTCTCAATAGTCACCCGGTCTTTTATCTCCATGAGGATGGAGTAGCAGTCCTTATCAAACTCGTACCTTGGGATGTACGATTTAAACTCTTTCTTTTTCTTCTTGGACGGCTGATCAGAGTCGTTATATCGCCCAAATTTCTTTTCTCTTCAGCTTTCTGAGCCGGCTGTTCTTGCCGACGCCCTTTTTATTTATCAGACTTCTTTGAGTTCGACTATTTGCTGGTGGAGCAGAGCTCGGTCGCCTGTATATAGGCTTCTACCTCCATCATCGCTTCTAGAAGAGTTGACATTCTCTCCCGGACGAGGTCAAACTTAAAAGTCAATCCGTCTTTCAAACCCTTGAAGAAGTCTGTATAAGCAACATCGTCAGACAATCCTTGGATTTGGATTCTCACCAGATTGAACCGCCTGACGTATGAACGGAGCCCCTCCCTATCTCCTTGTTGTACCGCACCCAAGTCAAGGCTTGTCTTTTTGGCGGGTATGTTCATGGAGAAGTTTGAGGCGAATAAGAACGCAAGCGTCCTAAAATTATTGATGCACCCAGCGGACTTCTAGGAAATGCCCTTCAGTGTGGGTGGGAAACATCTGCACCATGCAGCATTATCTAACCCTTGTAGGTACATGAGGTGGGTGTATGGCAACAGGTGGTTTCTGAGTTGGTGGTACCATCATAAGTACCCACCATGACATTTTTAACCTTGGTCGGCTGTGCCGCCTGGGTTATCTCCTTAGAGAACGTAGAAGGTTGTTCTTCAAGTTTTAGCAGACGGAGCTGCCAGTCTAGTGGCTGGACGTTATATGCTGCCTGACCCCTGAAAAGAGCAGGCTGCTAGTAAGGCTGGGCATATGGCATGTATGGCTGTAGGGGCACATACGAGGCTAAACCGATCATCTAAGGACTTGTATGGACGGACGGGCCGCCTGACAGGTTCTCCTATACAGATTGAGAATACCTCATAGAGTTATTCTTGAAGTTATCTAGGAAGGTCGACGTTGAAGTCAAGTAAGACAGTTGCTGGTTCTTCTTTTGTTCAATAATGAATCGAGCATTAGAAACAGTCTTCTTACTGCCACCCGGCTGATTATGCTGGATAGCCTTCCTTTTTCCCTGGGCTGGGAAGTGGAACTTGGACAAATCAATCAAACGCCAGGTCCCCTCCTTTGTTTTAGGGTGCGAAGTGGGATGCTTGTCTTTAACCGACTTAACCTTCTCAGAGTGAGAGGGCTTCTTGGCCGACTGACCCTTGCTGGGACCAGTCGTCCTCTTGGAGATCAGATCCTTCATCTCTCCCTTGAAATTTGTCATGAATTTCATGAACTCGTCTCGGGTGATGTAAGCAATCTGTCCTGCCGCCTGGGGTTGGCCGGTTGACTTACTCGGACCTGCTTGACCGTCGCCGCGTTCCCTGTTATCTTTGGAACAGACGCGCCTGGTAATGAGGGATCCATCTACGGGCATATATGTTTCGACCTTTGGATTGGAATCTGTATCATGGTTTGAATAGACCTCAGCCGTAGGCTGCTTCTTTATAGGAGGCAGTACAGTCTCTTGAGAAACCATCTTAAAGGTACTCTCCCCACAGACGACGCCAAATATTTAGGGGTTTTTTGGATGTCTGCGGGAGAGTGACATCACCAAGACTAGATTCCCTTCCCTGTACCTGCAAAACAACGGAAGCTCCAGTTAATAGGAGTTCCGCCTCCGACGATCAAGTTAGAACTGGTCGAAATAAGGTAAAAAGTGCGGTAAGTAAAGTAGATCCTCTCGGATTCCGAGATCGGGTGTTTTCTCTGATGTGAGAGAATTGATTAAATGTAATAAATGAATGTGCCCCAAAATAGGGTAAATCTCCCTATTTATAGGGTCATTGGGAAATGTGCCCTTATCTAGGTCAACGTGACCTAGATTTGGCGGGCTGCGTCGCTTTGCGTCTTTCTCGGGAATTGGGCCCTAAAGCCCTTCTTTTTCCATGCTGATTTGAAAGGCCACGTGTTAGCTGGTGATTGGTTTTGTTTGGATCTCTCTTGGGATGACACGTGTCACCTTCTAATTGGACCAAGTGGCTTGGGTATTTTTACCCAAATCAATCGCGGATTATTATTATTATTATTATTATTATTATTATTATTATTAAGTGAAATATAAGGCGAGTTGGTTTTATTATTTTGATATTTTTAAAAAATTATTTTAAGTGGCAGTGGGGAGGGGAGTGGAAAATTATAAATTGTTTCTTTTTATTATTTATATTTTAATTTATAGATATTTAAACACTATTTTTTGTATAAAAATTTCACAAATACTTCTGTTAAAATCGTGCATTGGTGAACTAATCTAATAACTTGAATAAAGGAATGTAACATAAGATGCAATAAAGGAAGGTAAGGGCTTGTTTACTTTAGCTTATTTTCATTTCATTTCAATCCAATTTAGTTTTTTATTTCCTTTTTTCATAAACAATTCATTTTAGTTCAGTTTAGTTTAGTTGTTTTCAGTTAATGTAAACAAGCTCTAAGTGCATTGTAATAAAAAAAAAGGAAGGTAAGTGCATCAAGGTAAATTAACAACTTAACATGTACACCATACTATTTTTTTTTGGATCAAATGAACAATTAGGCCACGCTTGTGATGAGGTAATGTATTAAGTGGTAATAAAAGTCAAACATAAGAAAACTAAGGTAATTAGAGGTGTTAATAATAAGGGGATAAAGTGGTGTTGGGGAGGATAAAGGGGTGTTGGTAAGGTATACATGATGTGCATAAATAATAAGAGTGAGACATATGAGGGGTGATAGTTACCCATCACCACCATAGGGTAATAGTTACCTTTATTTTGGGTAATAATTATTCAATATATATCTTTTATTTTCACAAAAAAAATGTCAGTATTCTTTTTTCACCGTTTTAATTTATATTTTTTTCTTATGATTTGAATTTTATTACCCACTAAATTATTACTCTCATCTCAAGCGTGACCTTAGGAGCAATGACGGTCTTAAGTTTTAGTACCACACCTCTAAAAACCTTAACCAAGTAGGTAAGTAATTTACTTACATCCAATAAATATGGACATGATTACATAAGTACATACCCACTTTTCATTAACATAAACATAACCAAAACACGGCGAACGAATTAGCATACAATTAAAATAGAGTATACTTGTATAAAAATAAGGCAATAGGATCTCGATGTTCCAACTCCCAAGACGACTTTTGTACGTAGTAGACTGCTTTTTATTGCCTGAGCAACCTTATACATATAAAACCCACACCACCAACTACATTAGTTGGTCCATTTTCTTCATCTTTGTTTCCCCTAAAAAATAATGTCATAGCCATCATTTCCTTATACTCTCTTTTCTCTCAAGAGCTATCTTCTTCAAAAATGGCGGCTGCTGCTTTGAATAGGATCAGACTGAGCAACCTTCCTCGGCTAACATGGTGGTGCCGCTACATGATTGTGGCGATTATGATTGCGTCGTGCTCATCTGCTCAAGCGCAGAATACTACTCGCCGAGCTACCACCGCTCCGATTGAAGGTTCTTTCTCTTCTTGTTTACACACTATTATCTACTCCCAGCTTAACGAAATAATAACTACAATTCATTTTTGACGCATTTTGAGAAAGAGATTTCTGGGTCTAAAATTAATTGTAGTTAGAAAAATTTGTTAAAAACCATGTTATATACGAAGTAATATAGTTATAAATTTTTTTTTATCAAAGCACACCTATTTTAAAATTTTGTTTGTCGAGATCCACCTCTCCCCGAATTCCGATAGTTGACTTGATTTTCCGGCATTGACTTGCACGTGTAAATCACGTGACTTACTAAACCCTCCCCCCAAACCCTTCCCTCTCTACTTTCTCTCTCCTCTTCCCAAGATAATTACCGCTCCTCTAATGAAGAAGACGAACCCACTCTGCACAAAATCAAGCCCCATAATCTCAAAATCTGGCTTTGAATCCTGTGTTAGGTGCTAAGGGTAAAACCCAAGAGTGAAATCAAGAGGAAATCCTCTGTTTTTGATGCTAAGGATAAACCCAAGAAAAGCATATCAAAGTGTGACGATCGTCGGTGTTGATGACAGTGGTCGTCGATGTAATGGACGAATAAGTGTGTTTTAGTAGGTCACGTGACTTACACGTGATAGGTCAATGAGGGAAACTGAGTCAATTATGGGAAATCGAGGAGAGGTGGCTCTTGACAAATTATTTTTTAAATCAGGTGTGTTTTGGAAAAAAAACAAAATTTAATGGTTTTTATGTAATAATAAAATTTGTATTTTATAAGATGGTTTCTAATCAAATTTTCCTTGTAGTTATTACTTTGATAGGGTAGTAATATGTAATTGATTTAGTTATAAAATTAATCTGTTTTCATATACTTGTGGATCACAACTTTAACTTTTTCTTCCATTCTTTTTGGTTGCACCATTTTTTGCACTTGAGAATTGCAAATTACTACTTGAATTGTTTTTTGGCAATGAATTGTCTATGTTAATACATACATGTATATATTTGGTATAAATAGTGTCAAAAGTCGAATTTAAGAAGAATAATGAATCAATTGTATTAAATAGCATTATTTTGGGTCTCTTTTGTCATTATGATGAGTTTGTGATGATTGATTTATTTCCCATCTTTAGTAGTCACATGGACACCACAAAAAGGGCTAGAATCCACTTTGGGTTCGTTCTGTAGATCAAATAATAATGCAATTAAGGACATAGTGGACGTTATTAGTTGTTCATTGCCTTTTTTATATACATATACTAGTATATACATACTTGTATCTGTTAATGATACTATTAATAGGAAGGAGACAACGTTCTAAGAATGGTCCTTCTGTGTTCTCGCAATGTTTAGAACTTAGGACAATGATAGTACTTCCTCCCTAATATAATAAATGCAACAATTTTACATTTGATACTATTCACAATTTTCACTTTAACCGTAATTTGTGAGTTGCACATAAAAAAAAAATTATAGTCATTTTTTGGGTCTCGTTGGATTCGTCTCAACTTGTAGCTTTTTATGATCTAGTGTTTATATTTTTTACAAATACATAATTAGAGATATTAATCTTTAAAGTCTTATCTTGACATGCGTAAAAAGTACAATTGTTGCGTTTATTTTGTTACGGAGGAAGTAATTTTTTGGTTTTTCCTCAATAGTACCCATTTGGGTTTTCTCAGGTGTACCCACCTTTTTCCAGAATTTTCATGGATAACCATCAACTTACAAACAATTCTCTTCGATAGCCAATTTGTTAACTCAAAGTTAATCAATCCGTTAGTAAGCAATTACCTGTTAATAGCCTAAATTTACATGCAAAAAGAATAGCTCTCTCAAGGTTTTGGTGTCATTCTAGCCCTTAATTGATCACCTTTGAAGCCAAAATTTGCTAAATAAAATTGACCAAATTCACCTCGCTTTATATTATATTAATGAAACATCTCAATTTGCGTGCATTAATTTGAATCCAAATAAAATAAAATAATTAACAAATTGGCTACTGATAATAGTTTTTGCTAAGTTTATGGGTACCAATAAGAATTCTGAAAAAAGACGGATAAATCCGAGAAAACCCAAAACTTCATGGGTGTGTACCAACGACAAAAACCCATTTTTTTTTTTCTTCTTTGGAGCATAAGTTTAAAATACTATGTATAGGTGAGTGGTCAGCATTTGAAAAAAAAAAATATTAAATTTATAAATTATGCATAACACATGTAAAATTTCCAATATTTCAATTTAGAAGAAAGAACTCTATCTACCAGCCACAAGGTAGATTACTTTTAATGAAAAGTGTTAAGAAAGAATGATAGTGAAATCTTACCCAACTTAGGGCATGCTTGAAAAAATTGATATTGAATTAAACTGAACTGACCTAAATTGATAAGAACATAACAGAACAAAACTAATCTGAATTGAACTCAAAAAATTCTATCTACCGGCCACAAGGTAGACTACTTTTAATGATCACCCGTCACCACAATAATAAACATATAATATAAACTTACGTAAAATTAAATAAAAAAGAATGAAGTGATGCCGTACACACATTATGTAATATAAAAAAGAATGAAGTGATGCCGTACACACATTATGTAATATTATGTAGAGTGGTAGAAACATTATGGAAAGGAAGATCTTTTATTATTTTATTATGGCTTTGAATTTGTTAGTTACAATTCGATTGAATATTTATTTGGTCTTTCATTTTCATTCTATCAACTTCAGTACCTTAGTCCCTACCAGGAATTTAACTTCGATCAATTCGTAGGAGTGTAGGACACCAGGGGTGGACACAAATGTGTTGTTCTCCATGTGGCTAGTGGGCACAATGTAATTTGCTCCGTTTTTTATCAGCTATTCCACTTTCCTTTTGAGATGCTTTTAATTAGATGTTTTATTACTTTTTTTTTTTTTGGCATTAATTGGGTATTAAAGTTACCACTGTACCTTACTTTTTAATGATCACATTAGTCTTTTTATTACTTTTTGAGGGGACCATATGGGTATTATTGAAAAGTAAAGCATGTAAGTTTTTTTTTCTTAAACTTTGTGTCATTTTGACGTGGAACAACTAATTAAAAACGGAGAGAGTAGTTATGTATCAATATATCTACCAAATTACCCTCATTACCTTATTTTAATGGTAATATTCTCACTACCTGGCATAATTTTGGGGTTGACCACTTTGACCCAATAAATTATCAACTACTGTACTACAATAACTGTAAAATGCAGAAACAGAATAAAAAAAAATATCTTGAAGGTAAAAAAGATAATGCAAATGAGAAATGAAGACTTTAAAGTCTAATTAAGATGTGATTTGTGGAAATAATGTAACGATAATGTTAATTGATGTGATTGTCACTAATTAAACATCATCTCAATTTTCATATTTTGGTCAATGCCTCGTTCATAAATATCCTTCCACCATCTCAATGACTGACTCAGTGACTCTAGTTGTTTCTGCCCCACATGTATAAGCGGTACAATTATGCATGTTACATTCTTACATATTCCAATAAATCAAGTAGGAGCTCATGTTCATCTTTTTCCTTGTATGATTAGTATTGAATATTGATTAGGGGATTTTGCTCCCACCAATCGGAATGCGCCACGTGGGCCAATCAGGTCCTGCCAAGTGTCCCCCAGTTGGACCTTTCAGGGCTTGCCACGTGGCACACGCTTATTCGTCCACCCTGGACTTATTATGTCATGACACGTGGCATACTCCATGCCTAATGGAGAAGCCGGTCACCTAGGCCCAACTTCCGAGGGAAGCCCAATCAGCCCAAGGTTAACCTAAACCTAGATTGGCACGTTTCCCGAGGTTATAAATACCTCCCTTAATCCTCATTAAGGGAGAGGACGCAAAAAAACGCAGATTACACACATTAAACACTCTCACCTAGAGAGACCCAATCACTTTAATTTCCGCATTAATTACTCCTTAATCAAGTACTAACTTGACCGTCGGAGGCGGATCTCCAATCATCCGGAGCATCCGTTTGTTTTGCAGGTACAGGCGTCCGGTTCCAGTCTCGGAATTGTAACTCTCCCGCAGGACATCAGAAAACCCCGAAACATTTTGGCGCCGTCTGTGGGGAGAGTACTTCTGAGATGGCATCCACGTCTGTACCGACTACTGAAGAGAGGCGTCCCCTAGACGACCCTTAAGTTCAGTCGGACCACGATACTGAGAATGAATTTGAAGTTGAAGCTCACACAGCTTCAGACGGGACCCTAAGGGCCCGACGTACCCGTCATACCGAAAGGAGGGAACAGGAACATCTTCAAACTGGAAGCGAGCCAGCAGGCGCACCGCCTGTTCGGCAGCAGCCGACTGATGGGTCTGCTCCCATCACAAGGAACGAACTCATGACCTTCATGAGGGACTTCAAGGGAGAAATTCAAGAGTTGATCAACAAGGAGCAGTCGGCTAAGAAACCCTCCACTTCACGGAAGAGGAAGCCAGTTCAAGGGCGAGAGGCGACCCCTCATCCTAAATCTAGGAAGTGGGAGCCACCTGCCCTTGATTTCACAAAATACCGTTTTCCTACTCCAGGAAATAGGAAACTTGTTCGTCATATTCAGGCGGACGGGTCGAGGAAAACATACACAGACGCTCGGCTACTGTTAGAGCAGAAGAAGAGTGACCGATTGTCAGAGTCGGCCTCTACTTCAAACTTCCAAGACAGTCTGCGAAATACCTCGATGAGGCATACTCAGTCGTATCATGAGGGTCAGTCAGGCGGCACCTCCCGTCAGTCCGGCTTTCATAGCGACCAGGCGGTACCAAACTTACCGTTTGTACCGCAACAACAATATTTTTTACAGCCACCTCCGTTTGGTGGACATGCAGCAAAACATGTCCAACCTATGGACTGGCAGCTACGGTTGCTTAGACTTGGTGAACAGTCGTCGACCTTCTCCAAGGAAATTACTGAAGCCGCTCAGCCGGCCAAAGTGAAAAATGTATTAGTAGACGCCTATGACGGCACTACTAACCCAGAAGACCATCTG